GGGGCGGCCGCGCGCTCCGGAGCGGCCGCATCCGTGGATCCGGCTGCTCCAGGATCGATCACGGAATCATCGTGCTTGGAAAAGAACCGTAGCCCCTTCGACACCAGCGTGCTGAACCACGTCCCCAGGTGCCCCGGGGGACTCCGTTTGGGGAGATGAAACCCACCGTGGCTGGGAACAGATGCGGGACCATCCCGAATGCGGCGCCCGCTCCGGAAACCCGCTTCCCGCCAAGAACTTTACAGCGAGGGTGCCCGAGCCCCGGCACAGGCTGCCCAGAGGCTGTGGAGGCTCCTCTGGAGATCTCCAACCCGCCTGGATGATCCCTGTGGCCTGGGTGTCCCTGCTGGAGCAGGGGGTTGGACTGGGCGATCCCTAGAGGTCCCTGCCAACCTCGGCCGCTCTGGGATTCCGGGATTCCCCGCCGCCGCGTGCTCACCGGTGTGGCTGCGCTTGTGCACCATGAGCACGTTGGGGCCGATGCACACCATGCCGCAGATGTCGCACTTGAGCTTCCCGTTGGGCAGGCGGATGCCGCCGGGCGAGTGCGGCTCCGCGCCGGAGCCGTCGCAGTAGCCCAGCGGCTCCGAGAGCGAGTCGTCCACGATGACGCTGTCGTCCTTGTCGAGCAGGCGCTCGTCCTGCGGGAGCAGCCGGCTGCCCTCCTCATCGCTGTACATCTCCACCTTGATGGAGTTGGCTGCGGGGAAGCGCACAGGGTGAGGAGAGGCAAAGCCGGGAAAAGAAATGGGAGCTCTGGGAAGTCTGGAGCACGTTTTGGAAAAGACCCCCCCAAGGAAACACTGGTGACGGGGTACGCGCCCTGCCTGTGCCCAGCGGGGCTCTGCACTTCTTGACTAGTTAAGAGCAGGCACCAAACACCCATCACGGGCTACAGGCCACAGGGCTGGTTTCACACCCCGGACACCAGTGCTGTGGCTGCCGCCCTGTAAGGCGGCCCTCTGAGAAAGAGCATTTTATTCCCCGGATTCAATGAGAGGGGAAAGAAAAAGCACTCCTGCATGGAAAGGGCTTTAGCGGCAGCAGAAGCCACCACGTTTGGACTCCCCAAGTCGCTGAAGCCTCGGGATCAACGGGCACCAAGCGCCTCACGCGAGTCCTTCTCGACGGAGTCGGGAATCGCAGCTCGCGGGGGCAGAGCTGGCTCTGCTGCAAGTTCTCGCTGGCGTGAGAAGATGGGAAAAGGGAGCGGGAATGAGCGCTGGCGGAACGCGGGGTCCTGGCACTCCCTGCGGAGCGCCCGGAGCGGG